TTAAAAGGAAGCGACAGTTCACGCGCCGCACTCTAACAAACATTATTGCCGTGTGATGGCCCGTTCGCGAACAATAGTTCGACAGCTGTTTATCATCGAAAGTTTCGCCGGCACGTTCATCGAAGTATCGACAATAATTGATTTCATACAAAGCGGAAGCGGCGCCCTATTCAGCGTACGAAGGCACGGTTCGCTCCTGCAAAGGTTATTGCGTTTGCTCCAATTATCCATTTACCTTTCACGGAAGAATTAGCAGATAATACAGCGGAGGAAAAGTTGAAGCAAAGTAGCAATTCATTCGGGAGTGTGCTTAATTCAAGGAGGGCACGATACGCGCTCGTATTACACGCTTTCATAAGAACTATACTCGCCCGGAAGTTGATGTAATAAAGCGAGCAACTCGGAAGGCAATTGTCGTGTTTCGTTCGCTGTCATTTGTCAACAAAATCGGGGACGCGGCGGGTTTCAAATGAACTGCGACTCTTTCAGTGGTATTCTTCGCTTCGGGAAACGAAGGGATGACTGGATGGTAAATAGTTGTCAATTTAAATTATAAACGTCCCATTAAGCGCGACGTTATTAGACCCGCAGATCGTTCTTTCGAATAGTGTAATTTATGAAAGCGTGGCACAGTAAATTCTCCCTAATCGACGCTCAGATTGTGCGCAAAAATGGACAATTTGGGAAGAGGAGATACGATTATTCAAACTTTGCGGCTCGTTTTTTTATAGTTGTTGACAATCGATAACTATAAAAACTCGTCGATTATTATCGTTTCGTTAGCGAATCGCTATTGGCAAATCATATTTCATGACGATTGCGTTGTTTGTCGTTTGGGGAACGACGAAACGTTGAGATTCGACTGTTTCCTGATTTTTGTTTAGGAGAGAAGATAGCAGCGACGGTGCAAAGATTTGAATAAATATTAAAAACATAACGTTTTAATATTGATATAATAAAGAAAACGTTTTCGGTAACGATGAAACTAAATTAATTGTATAATACTGTTGATGAAAATATTTGTCACGAATGTGTCGTGCCTGCTCCCATTAAATATTTAACTACTTGTAAAGAGTGATGAAAACGTAATATTTATCATGCAATAATCTCTGTCGGATGATGGTGATATAATTGCAAGCGTGTCTTAAATTACATTATTATTGATCATTGTATTCGTGATTATCAAAATCGAATTGTTCTTTTATAAATTATTGGTTATTTTATAAATTAGGAATATATATTCTCCTTATAAATTGTAATATCAAAAAGAGATAAATTAAATTTTCGACGGTATTTTGTTCGCAATGTATATGTAATGATAAAAGTGTAATATTAAATGCCCTAGTGTCTTATTTTATGCCATTTCTAGTAGTTCTTTAAAATTATTGTCGTCAGAATGTATTAAAATCCGCATTTTCAAAAACTAATAAATACAATTGGATTTCATTTACGTTTGAAGAAATATTCATGGTAACGCGGCGAGGTTAGGTGAGGTTAGGTGAGGTTTTCAGTCATTCTTAGATGTAATTAATTGTTAATACTTCGTATGCTTGTGTCAATTTCTCTATAATGGCAACGCGGTTTGAAAGCCCACTCAGAATGGCGGAGAACCGAAGCTCACATTGACCCGAACCGTTGAGGTCTCGCTAATTAATGACCTCCTGGGATACGAAGCCCCCTCATCTGGTCGGGTTTGTCTAAGAACAACGATATAATATTGTAAGTTGAAGATAACAGTATTTTATTTGAAATCTTGCTTCGTTTATATTGCAAGTCTGTTTTCGAAACTATAGCGAAAATATAGTAATGTGGTAGCAAAAAATTAACTGCTACCGTGTATGCACCTCTTATAAATAAGCAAAACTAGGCTGAATGCAAACATTGCGGAAGAATGTTAAGCATCGAATATATTTTATTGTACTGTCGTAAATGGCTAAAGAAAAGAAACCGATTTGATGTAAAAATAGACTTAAAGATCAATTTAAATAGCTGCAAGGAAATAGAAAATGTTTTAGTTTTTTAAAGTTACACGCACAGACCTCCTCAATAAATTATAAATTAATTATAGTTGATCACAGTATGTATGCTAGAGTTATGTTATAGAGTTATTATATATAAATTTGGTAATAAACTGGTAAACTTAAATTGTAAAAATTAATGTATATTTGATAAGGATGGAAATAAATGTAATATTAAAAAAAAATCTTTTGTTCGAAACATCTGTTTCTATAACATGTAGCTTACAACAAAAATTAAGGTTAAACAGTTAAATGACTCGTACCGACAACATTTTGAATTAAAAAAGAAATGTAACACACGATCTTGGATTACACTTTGTTTTTTAGAAGCAGTGATTTTATACTCTCTTATTCGATTATTGGAATAAAATGCTATATATATAAAGACAGAAAGTATGAGAATGAAATCATGTTGTTTGCAATTATCGATGAAAATATACATTCGGTTAAAGATTCACGGTTCGCTGATAAATTATGGAAAAGCTGAATTGGAAAGAAAAAAACCAAGCACGAAAAACTCCAGGCGCGTCGACACATTTTTGATGCACTGCACGCAAACAAAGCTTCCATATTTCAATCCCCCACGAGATATGGAACCATTCTCAGATGACTGGGACCCGCTGTGGATCGAGCTGATTGGTCGCATAAATTTTCGGTTGACACGGTCCTCTTCCGATGACATTTTCGAAGACTTGACGATTCATCCGGTTTGCTCGGGGAAATGGGGGACCATCGGCATAGTCAGTGGCACTCGCAAAAAGTAATATTTCACCGCGAAAGGGGAAGGCTCGTAAGGCCAATATCATGGTGTATCGTCGGTGACAGCGTGCGTTTCAAAAGCGGATTAGTTCCGGTATTGTATTTACAGGTGGTCGTGAAGTGAACGGCTTAGTTGCGAAATTGGTCGCGCGACCCGCGATGCATCATAACTCGGCGCATCCGTCGGGCTCGGTCGCTTTTAAAATTCTCCCGGCAAGAACTTTTCACGTTAACTGACACTTTCGAAACCGGGTTGCTGAATAGTCGGGCGCGGATAGAGACGGTTTTCCTGGTCATCCGGATTTGTCGTTTTTCCCGACCGCGGAGAACGGAGGAACCGCGTTTAAAGCAAATACACTTAACTAACGTGGATCCCGTAAAGCCGGCAAACACGATTTACAAATTGTACCGACATTTTTCTACAGTTACTTTATCATCGCTCCGAGAGGATTCGCGTACTGGAAATTGTTTTAATCCGACCCCTCTACCCGTGGCTTTTGCACGAACGCGTTTCAAATAGGGTAAACGCGCTGATTATTGCGGTATCGTGCTTCGATCGTACTTTATTTTAACATTTCCTTTCATTCATAATGAAGAAATGATACGTTCGAGCACTTCGTGGAAGAATAATGCGTTCTGGGTAACGATCCTATTTATAAAGTGTCCCAAAAATGTCTCGCTATCCGGAAATGGGGGGTTCCTGAGGTCATTTGAAGTAACTTTTTCCTTAGCGAAAATGCGATCCGCGGCTTTGTTTACGTGTTATTAACGAAAAACGGTGACCAATGGCCGCCACGCGCTAGCTGAGCTCGCCTCTTATTGGTCAGTGTTTTTCGTTAATAACTCGCAAGCAAAGCATTGCATTTTCGCTAAGGAAAAAGTTACTACATTTTTGGGACATCTTCTAAATAAATTCTGAGCAAAGGAATAAATAATTTTCTTATTTAATACATTCTGAATGAATAAATCTTACATTAATTATAACACTATAGTGTAATGTCACATTTCATTTCTGATATCATAATCTAGTATCTAAATAACTGAATGCTAAATAATTGACACAACGTCCATGCTTTCAATAGCATTAAAAATACGGTGTGGCGTTAATGAAATGAACTTTTGAAGTGCTTTGGCTTCAACAGAAACCAAAAGCTTCATTCGATGGAGTTGTAAATAGAGTTTGTTTGCAATTCCTACAAACTTTTCACAAAATTATACATATGTTGCCAGAGATTTCGTAAAGGATTAATATCGTGGTCAAAACATCCGTTAGCAAATTATAGTTACGAACCCATGTTTTCGTAGATTATTTCAGAACTAAAATGATTTCTCAGACGTTGATTTTACAAGACGGTCTTTATTCATTACACAATCTTCTGATTTTATTTGTATTAGTTTCAATTATTGAATTTGAAAGAGACCACGTAATACGATAATGAAAAATCTTTGAACGTTTCTTAAAAATGGATTAAGCAAAAAATTCTCCTTCAACTCACACTCATTTTCATTTTATATTTCCATTCGATCTATCATGTTTCATATAAAATTACATATTTTAAAGAATTG